TCAACTGGAGAATTTAATGATAATTAGGATCATAAACTATATAGTGGAATACTAATTAATTTTGAAGAGGGTGAATTAGCATAACCTGTTATAGAAGATCATTAAGCTCCCGAGCATTCAATTATATTATATTCATACCTAAGCCATCGTTTATCTCGAATATTATAGGTGGAGTCATATCAACAATTATACTCTGTGATTGGCTAACAGCTGACAGCCCCGCAGCATTCGATGACATCACTGTGACGTACAGTTTAGTATTATGAATAAGCTTCAGGTCCGATATGGTTACATGGTGACGTGAACCTACACTTGTAAAACTTTTAATCTGTGTCCCACCTTCTACAGTTCCTAGAAATATACCAAGAATATCCTTTATTGTAGGTCATTAAATAAAATCGAACAGAGAGCAATCTGAACCCGAGTTATCTCGTTCCATGTGCTTTTAATACATAATTCTATAGTGATAAATCTCTTAGTTAAATATAGTGGTTTAGACAAAAACATGCATCTAATCTTGTTAAAGGGCATTAATAGGTTTATCATTGTTTAATTTGCTTCAATTCATTTTCAAGATTTACAGACATCCATATATATTTGACTATTATTAACGCTATTGTAATTCAACACGCCCAATACATAATCTGATATGTACGTTTGTTGTTTGTGATGTCGGTATAGATTTGTCTTGTTTGTGTGTGGTGCGGTCCTCCTGCACTTTCTATAAAATGTATTATTTATAATGTACATCGGAAAAAAACTTATGATTTCACTCTCAGTGAAACTGTTTTGAGCAAAATAAATATGTTTAAACTAAAACCTTTTTATGACTGCATAGAATCTTAGAAGAGAAGATAAACTACTACCTTTAGAGATAAAAAACATTTACCTAGTGCCCATTTATTTTCAATAATAGGAATCTCATTATCTTCAAAATGCCACGCAAGGTGTATTGATGACCAATATGGTGTGAAGACTGTGTGATGTATTAAATGATTCGATTCACTCCGTATATCTACATAATCAACTTCAAACAAATACAGATCATCTATCGCTAACTCCATATCTAAATTAACTGTACCAATTATAATGTCTTCTGTAGTAGCTGTAGGATGGACAACGTACATATATCTACTCCATAAAATTAAAGACAACGACTGAACTTCATCTACTCCTTTAGATAACTGTGGGTCAAGGTTGAATGTCTGCCGTTCTTTCCCAAACTGGACGAAGCCTTCCAGAACATGATCCCGTATACTGACGTCATGAGGATATCCAACATGGACGATCAAATGATAGACATTGCCTCGATGTAAATTTGAAACGGTCTGTTCAATTCGTCCTTTCACTTTGACGTAACTGTTACCATCTTTCGACGAGTGTGATTGGACCGTTTTAATACAAAATGTTGGATCAATCTTCCAATTGACTGGTGCTTGTTCATCACATGTCGTGGGCTTGCTCTGTAGTCCTTGTTCAAAAGATGGATTAAGGATAAGATTATCGCCGATGTATTCGACATCAACAGGATAAGGTGGTGTAATATCAATAGTTATGCCATTAGATACCACTACATCAGATGTTAATCCAATTCCATCTACAGCATAAACCCTGTGATAGATTGTTCTACCTTCTAAGTCTGTAACATAAAAACATACCCTGTGCTTTCTATTTGATGTAGACACAATTATTCAAATCAATATTAAATGATGTTGTTAAAATGAAGATTATGAAATGAATCCGAATAGTATTAGCGAAACACATTTATGATATACTCACAAGAGAAACACAAATGAGTTACCTAAAGTTCGTTTCTGAAGTTGTGAGGAACATACGGCCTGAGATCATGTTGTTGATATCAAAAATACAACTAAATAGTATTATAATGGTGTGATAATCTGCCAGTCGCTAAGATAATTAATGTTTGAAGATCAACTGCAGCTAGTAAGTCGTTAACCTGTCATCCATTTCAAGCCGTCATTAGGTAACGACGTTAATCCCATCTATTGTTTTTGTTGATTTATTATATTTATTATGCATTGTTCATTTATCGACCTATCAGTTTTAATTACAACATTTACCTTTATCCTATTATCTGATTGTCCTTAAATATTACAAAATATGTACATTGAATGCAGTCACTAGTTAGGATCCCTAACTAAGTGCAGTAACTGGCCTGTCAGTACTGTATGAAGATATATGTATATTTATGTTCCGGTATATTAAAGAATTGAAGAATCATTCGAAATCTGTTATATCCGAAGAGAGAATCTTACACCTCTAAAGTATTCAATAATTTAATTAACCACAGTTGTCTTTGGTATTCGAGATAAACATGGTACCATAATAAGATTCTAACCTTGTTTTAATAATGTAGATATATTTCGATAACCTCTCGTATATAATCCCATATTTTCCCAGGGTTTAATACTACAATCAGTAGTACTATCATCTGTACCAATACACCAATAATAACTCTCTATACCAGATCCACTATCAGTAAAACCATACCATGATGCTGATACACTTGTTATACAGCTTGAATAGTCTGTATCATATACAGCTGAAATAAACGTTGGTAACTGTATAAAATATTAAATCACAAAAACTATGTGCCCGAATGGGGTAAATATGTATTCTAGTGGTACAATCCTACCTGAGACAGACAACTAGAAACGTTTTGAAAGCTTAAATTATGATATCTTTAACCCAGTGTTCGATTCCGGTTTCGGGATATCCAGCGTGGTTCCTCCTTGTCAGTAGTGAATTACGCAGGGCATGACAAGGAACAGCTATAGTCAATCATTCGAATGGGGCGAAAGCCCGCGGTATATTAGAATTCGAAATAAGAGTAGTCTGTAACGCACATGCATGGCGTATGTGCCTAGTCGGAGCAGAAACGTAGGGCGTTAAACCCCATTTCATTTCATTTTCCTTATTTTGAATGGTGTATCACCAATATATGTCAAAATATTTGAAAGGAATGATCCCCATCAAAAATAGATTGATTTATACCATAAAGATATCTCAACAGTAAGCGCAGGAGAACCGCACTATACGCACAAAGACAAAACAGCGGACAAGACAAACTGTATAGACACCGCAAGAAATAAACAACAAATATCAAATCATGTGAATGGATCCTGGAATTCAGCTATAAGCTGTACAATCCCGGGCATGTAATTCACTCAAATTGAAACAAAAGTGATTTACAAGAACGACGCAACAGAAACACTAACAATACATGTTTAAGCAATACTCACAGTCACCATCGTGAACCAGTCCAGATGAAGGTTGTTGATTATCTAATATGATACCATCACTACTCGCCCAACTAATTAAACCTACTTTATTATAAGCTATAATTATCGTATAATATTCTCTGTTTTCTTCTAGCTTTAAACTATTAGCTATGTACATATTTTCAGATCCAGCTACATCGATTACTGATCGATGGATATTGTGCCCTGAAATAAAGAATCATTTATCAACACAAGCATCGTGAACTGCACATGGTGGTGGTAACATTTGCCGAAGTTCGCCACAGATTAACTGGATACGGAAACAAAGATCTCCCCAAATTAACGAAAAAAAAACTTGTTAACCTACCCTATTCGTAAGTGCCCGTGATCAAAATTAGCTTATGATCGCCTTGATGAGGAAGCGTGTCCAATTGCTAAGATGCCCCTGCATATGTGGTGTAATTCTTAAACTTACCCATAGGATGTGTACTAATATATATCCTATAATAATCCAGACCATGGGCTCCTTCTCTGAATTTATTTTTCCAGTTAATGATCATGGTATCAGTTGAAGCTTGATAATCTATATCTTTACTGCTTGAAATATCTCGTAATTCCTTTACCTTAATAAAAATAATCAAAACTTAAAATCATAATTAATTAACTGTTTCTTCGGGAATTTTATTGATCGAGTTTCCAGCAATAATAATATACGTAAAATAAATTATTCTTTTCTTAAAAGTTTCATTCCTGGCGCTCAGTAAGGTGGGATATCGGCCAATAAAACAGTTTGACCCAACATATATTGGATAAATGATTTATAACTCACCGCAGCAGAGGCTAAATAACTAACACTGGGCGCCGACGTCAGTACAATTATACCAGGTGATTTAAATATAGCATATTGTTCAGAAGTATACCAGGCTTTTACAAATATACAATATGACACCGACTCCTGCAGTACATCTCCTGGAAGAACAGAGATATCGGAAAAACAATAAAGAAAAACAAATAAAAATACACTCTCCGTATTCTGTAATTCGAAGTTGGATAATCGACACTTTGTTATTATCTTAATAACGGTAGCAATGCCAATCAAGGCTACACCGTTCTTCTAACGACGATAACTCGGCTCAGGGTGAATTAATTTGACTGAAATTTCCGAAATATTCTCTTTTCATTATCTATTTTATCTATAGCGAGAACTGTCAGCTGTGTACCAATCTTTCATAATACCCCTTTAAGAAGTTGATGATTTCGCGTTTTACTGACGTCGGTTACAGCAAATGACGCAGATGAAAGAAAACAGGCGGTTTGACCTAAGTAGTAAACGGTATAGTCTTAGCAGTAACTAGAGTTTGGTTCGTGTGATCTGTTCGGGTTAGCCAACCTTTGTTTAATTAATCACGTTATTTGTACATACTGACCAATACTAACCAACTGACTTACATGTAAATACTCACTTTATGAATATTACTGACCAATTATAGGAAGACGGATAACCCGTATTCTTCTCACGCGTTTACAGGTTCTATAGTGATATCAGGGCTTGTCACAAAATACCCAAGTTAATAAATACTGTAGGATCGATTATCCATAATATGATTTTTATCATTTTACAAGAGGCAAATTTAATTAGGCAAGAACTAATATATAAATTGTTTACCTTTAGCTAAAGTAAGAATAACTTCTGTAGTTTGACCAACATCAAACCAGGCGCGTTCTGTGTGTGTTTTATAGATACCAATGGGTTTTGATTCATTTAAATAGCCAGCACTCACTTCGTATCTACAGACAAATAACAAACACGATAAAGTTAGTATGGAGTTTTGGAAATTGGGCATTTAACCCAAAAACAATACTATTCTAACTGTTGACATATAACTCATTTTACTGTTACGTGTATAGGGTTTAAGTTTAAGCAGTTTGTGGTTAACAGAGATCAGAACAAAATGAAATATATATATATATATATACCAAGGAAGATATAATCAAATATTATCTGTTTATTTTTATTTCGCGTATCCTTCATTATCAACAAATATGTTTTATCAATAAATACCTTATAACCGATAGACCTTGACCACTTATTGTTCTCCAACTAGCAGCCAAAAACGTTTCAGCTGAAGTGAATCTTTTCGAAACTGACGACGACAGCCATAAATCGGTAACAGCGACTACCTGGATGATATTATTTGTATTTCCTGTATAGAAACGAAAGACACATAATGTGTAGTTTGTTTAAAAGAAAAATAAATTTATGTACTCATAATGTCAAAATAAATAATTAGGCATAAATAACAGGATTTGCATTAATGATCATTACTGTACATTTGATGACGAGTTGCCTTTAAGACATTTAAATAAAAATACAAAATACCTGATGTTATATCTTTACATCTGAGTTCATCTAATGTTGGTTTTGGACATTGTCTATCTTGTGGAGCACAAACACATAGTCCATTACAATTATAAGTTACATTACATCGTCGGACTAAATCCAGAATCCCTCCCTCCATTAGCACAAATTCTGAATGAATTGGTTGACTTTTTAACCCAACCTGTTAAAAAAAATTAACACAAGTAAAGCAAATCTACAAATAAAATCATGTAACATAACCATAAGCGGTAACGTCCATTCTAACATGTTATTGAATCAACATTAATATACGTAAAAAAAACATATTAGTCATCATTATCTATATTATAGACGTGTATTGCGTTATTGGTTCCTCTATCTCATTGTTTATATTTACGAGCAAGTTTATATAAACAACACTAAGCTTTAAGTACATATCATTTTGTTCTGATCATTTTGTGTGATATCAACATTTTATTTATTAGGGATTACATGAAGATTAGTTTAACCTGATAGATTTCATGTTCCCGATCGTTTAGTTCATTACTTACCCCATTGACTGCCCAAACAGACATAAACACGGATTTAACGGACTGTAAATTAACACTTTCTACAGTAACCATTTGTACCACACCCTCATCATCAAAGCTGTCTCCTGGTACGTGCCGAAACGTTGATTCTGTTTTATGCTATGAATAGAACAAACAAATAATAAACAACACTGCATGTAAGGGTTAACTTGAGTTCTTTTACAACTTTGGAAAATCTATGTAATGATTTTTATTTAAGGACACGGTCAGTCGTTGACGATTCTTTATCTGGTACACAGTTGGTTTGCTCAACCTGAAGTACAAGGGTTTGGATGTGTGGTGGTATGGGAGGAACTGTCAGTCAATGTTTATCAACAAATCAGTTCAATGGCTTCTTAGTTTTAAAGCGGGCGACAGTTCGACCCATAACGTCACGGTCAGTATGTTCTTTAAAGATGTGCCGACTTTAATTTTTCTTGGTAAATATCCGCAACTACTGTATCTAGTCACGGTCAGTAGGTTGTTTGTAGATAATGTTTCTTGATAAGTATCCCCACCTATTGTATCTAGTGTTATATATTACCTTTTGAAGATCACAAAAGAATGGCTGAGTTCCCAAATTAACAATATATTCTTTAATACCAGTATGTAGATCCGAGAATCCCAGCCATGATATATTGATAGCATTAGTTGACCATCTCATCCAATTATCTCGGTGACGATTTAAATTAGCAGCATGATCAGTAGAGATAGCAAACATTCCTAGGAAGAAGAGTTTAAACTATCATCAATCCGTTTAAAGACAACCTTCCATCATACATGTTTCTATTGTAGTTATTAGTAAGTGTACGGCGACTGCACCACACAAATAATTACACAAGACAAACCTACGGACAGGACACATTATACAGACACCACGAATAACAAACACATATATCAGATAAGGCAAATGGTTCCGGTGGTTAGTGATACAAAATTCATTCAAGATGAAACCAAACTAGATGGGGTTTTCTGCACGAGACAAATTAGGTAATTTCGTGAATTACGTATGGTTCAATTCTGCGGCGGACCAGGAGAAAACCCACGAGGCTGGACATGCGACCCATCACCTTGTTACGTACAGGCGGGGAATCGCAACCACGCCGCTTGGTTCAGTGACAGACTTTATGCTTTCAAGCGCACGCGTTAACGATTCGCCCCCCCCACCTCTCCTAATGAAGACAGTTCGAGAAAACAAGTGGACTGTAAAAAAATGATACTCAGCAGCATGTCCAAAGAGTTCAACAAAAGTTGATGGCACTTTCTTGACAACATTGATAAATTTCGGTGTGTACAGCCAATAAAGCTGAGAAAAATGAAAACACTAATGCCATTTAGTAAAAGTCTTTTATATAACTAATACCTCTGGTTGGTGGTGATGAATCGACAGTAATATCATCAATAACAGCTGACTGACACAAACCAGCTAAATTACATCCAATAAGTTTCACTTTATATTTACTGCCATCATGTAAATCCAGATTTGAAAACTGAAACTCAGTTAAAACACTGGGAATCTGACATAAAAAAACAACAAACATATTTAGTTAAAGTCCATTTCATTATATGGGTAACAACCACGCTATTTCATCACTATATCAAATTCATCGATAACCTAAACAAATGTAGCCGAAAATGTTACTTTGGTTAAGCATATCTGAACTCTACGATTTTGGTATTTAGACATTGCTGTACGGCTAACGTTGGTAATTTGGTGGACCCGAGGTTGTAGGTATTTCTGGGTAAAACAGTATATATAATATTAAATTCCTGTACAAAGCTACACGACAGATTTTACAACTTCCCTGGAAGTGATAACTAATTATTGTATCTTACCATCATTGCTGAAGCGTTGAAGTCACCCAAAACATGTGGAGAAATAGATATGTATTGTCGTTCTATATCCGAATCATCATCAGTAAATTCCCATTCAACTTTAATACTGGTTCTACTAATGGTTGTATACGGTAAAATACTACCGAACGTTGGTGCAAGTATGGGCTTCTTTCTTAGAACAGGAACCGTTACATCAATAGTAAAACCATTAGAGGTTGATTCGGTATATAAGCCTAAATATATAGAATAACACACAATCATCAACATACTCTCGTACAGTGAGACCAATTCTTGATACAATCTGATCGAGGTATTGGTGTGTCAATGACTCCTCCCCATAATTGTGTCAATGATTACTCGACATAGTTATGTCAATGATTCCTCGCCATAGTTGTCAATGATTACTCGTCATAATTGTTCCAATGTTTACTCGCCAAAATTGTGTCAATGATTCCTCGCTATAATTGTGTCAATGTTTACTCGCCATAATTATGTCACCGATTCCTCGAATTGCAGTGGCCCACGATGTGCTTGATATACATATTTTGAAATATTTTCTCAATTAAAAGAATGGCTATCATATAAGAAGTGATGAAATACAGTGACATGATACACATTCAATAATTAGCTTTCGATTTCAATTTTCGATCAATGCCAATTTATTTTTATATATTTCTATTGGAAGTCCAATACGATATGGGAGGCCGCGGTGGCTCAGTGAATAAGACGTTGGTTTGGTAACCTAAAAATTCCGTGTTCGATCCGTTGGACAGGATGGGACAAAAACAAAGGTCCCGTGTACACATTGGCGTGAACATAAAAGATCTTTTGGCAGTTGGAATTCGATATAAGACAACAAAATTTCCCCCATAGCACACTGTTTGCCGTATACTCGTCTTCAGTTGGAGCAGAACAGTAGGATGTTAAACACCCATTCCATTTCACTTCACCATAACGATATTAAAGAAGGCACCCGTAACACCATTTTCCGGAGTCAAAACAATTCAATTATACATTTCCTTTCAATCGGGGACAATTGTCAATTAAAACAGCCAGTTTTATCGTGCAATATCGGGATGTTAAATTGTAAATATAAATCGATGATTTCAAGTAACCCATTGGTGACAAAGAGGCTGTAAATGGCCGAAAATATAACACTGCCATCAGTAAGATTATTTATCATACAGCAAACTAGTAACAGGATAAATATGATAATAAAGAGACGAGATTTTACCTGGCCACTATCAATACGATAAAGAGCTAGATTTTACATGGCCACTCCCAGTCACCATATAAATATGATAAAGTACATGCATTGTAATCTTACCAGCTTTATTATAACATCTAACGGTTATATACATTCTTATACCAAGTGGCAATAGTTTATTATTCGGTAGGTTCGATATATAAGTTAGTTGTACAACAGGCAAAGCTTTGGGTGGTAATATATCGTCTCCCCCAACCGTTGTACCAACTCTCCATTCATATCTTTCTATACCAGATTCGGCATCTTTAAAACCATACCATTTGGCACCTATATAATCTCTGTATCGGAAAATGCATATGTATATTAAAAAATTACGAAATGGTTTTATTTCTGGGTATATAAATCAACCCAATAAAAAAAACATTCCAGAAAATGGATAAAATAAAAAAAACACCCCAAAATGTAAAGAAAATGTTGAACTTGAAAACTAAAGTTAAGTTAAGGGCATTAGTCATTGTATTGGTTTCAGATTACTATTTCTGTTTCAGATATTTGTTTTTGGTTTTAATTTATTGAAATAAAGATAATACTTTACGAAACTACCTGGAAACTTGAAAATCTATATCTAAATCCTTCGTGCCATCTAAAACCCTGCCACTTATAGGTGGGGTGACATCAACAATGACACCATCAGAAGAAGCATGCGCACACATGTTGACCATATTGCATGCGGTTACCGTGGTAATATATTTTCTACCGGGTATAATGTTGTATTGTTGAAAGGTAAAAACTGAAATACGAAATCAATACAAATATTTGTGACGGTCGTGTGTTTGTCTGTTGTTTGTCTGTTTGCCTGTCTGTTCAGAGTTGACTCTACACTAGGGTTGTCCCGGGACTGATATTTGGCGTATAGGGTAGCTCGAACCGGGTAGTAACATAAGCCGTGCAGCACCGGTTAATAAATTAAGATTTTTGTTTGTATTTATTTGGTGTTTGTTTTTATAAATAGTGTATAAATCAAACCTATAATTATTATGAACAGCATTGAAGATATAAACTCTTACATGGGTATGCTCCAGTTTCGATTTCTTGTATGACGTCATCACAATTTGGGCATCTACCCAATTTCAGTTTATAGTATTTTATTGATGAATGCGGATCGTGGAAACCCTGCCATCTAACGGAGAATGTTGATTGGTTAGTTATATAATCTACGTCAATTCCTGTAGAATTGGAATGAAGAACTTCAATGACGTGTCCCGTTACAGGTGGTGACGTATCTACTGTTATCGGCCGCGAAATCAATGTGGATGATAAACCAACTCCATTCGTGGCCTGTAAAATATTTCAGACATTAAAATTTGCTTCTAATGGATGTATGAAAGAAGCGAACACATTTCATACAATATTTAACACTGTCATCTCTAAAACATCCCAGACGATTGACGCCATGGCTTCACAAATTTCTTACAATGAACTGAACTTACCTCTACCGTCACATAATACGCATGACCATCCCGTAAAGTGGTTTCCAAGGTAACCTCATCACAATCAGTAGACGTTATAATATGTTTTATTATGTCATGATGTCCTGGTCTACTACCAAACGACCATTTGTATTGAGTAATACCACTTTCGCCATCTTTGAATGAGCCGCTCCAACTAAGAAATGATGTTTTGATCAGTATTTTTCACTACTACATAAGGCCATTTGATTTCACGAAAATAGTTATATTTGAAATAGTTTATCTCTACATTGAGATTTCTTGCAGCACATAACCAATCACGAATCCATTAGTGTGTCATATTCATTTATTCTTAACCCTTCTTCTTTAGCATAGTCGCGGAAGTACAGACTGGAAAAAGGCGAGGATCATCTTTGTTGGCGCGAAGACAACGCAATAAATAAACAGTTGGCCACCAAAATGTTACACGATAACCCATAGCAAAACGGAGCCGGATGGGGCTTTCTTACCTTCCCTTCGTCGTGTGTCTATACCAGGAATGCGACGACAAGAATAAACGTAGTAAGGCCACACCGCTGTCCGACCTGAATCTGTATCGATGTCATATCACTCCCAACAATATATTACGCAAGAAAAAGCGCTTAAAATACAGATGTGACGTCATCCCTTGATGTTTGCGCACCATTATTTCAAATTATGTAGAGGCAATTTGCCAATCGTACATGTTTTATACTAGATGAAATATTTCACTGAAATGTACCCGATGATGTCTGTATTTTAAGTTTTTAAGGGTCTCGTACAAGATCTTGCGTAATATTTAGATATAGTCCTCGGACTTTTGTCCTCGTGGAATATCAATATATTACTTTATGTCTCGCCTTGGCCCATCAAATCTCACGTACATAACTAGAGCAAATGACTTTGCGCCAGCGTCCCCTAAAACCCAGGCAAGCCACTAGCACGTAAACACACACCATACAGTCAAATCACGGCAAAACCTGTTTTACTGACCATGGTAGGTCTCCGCTTATAGTGACATTATAAATTCTAGAAAAAATTAAACATACTTTGCTTCGTCAATATTAGCAGATATACTTTGTATTTAACTTACCAGACAGAAACTATATTAGTAGACTGCAGATATGTATCAGTAAACTGAATTGGTTTAGACGTTACAAGTGGTGGACTGTTATCTACTATAAAACCTTCCGAATAAACGGTATGCGACCTATTCACAAAATCCAAAGCTAAAAGATAAAGATTTATACTTATTAGTATCATTTCATTACAGGAATGTATGTGCATCTGGGAAGATGAAGATACTATTAATTTAATGCAAATGCTGAAGAAAACTTTGATCAAAAGGCAATCTTTTCCGATAATTCTGGCAGTCAACCGTGATGGTTTTCGGTATATTCAGAGAAGGATCTGGCCGACTGTGTTAAGTGGGCTGTACCAAAAAATACTCTACAGAGGACCTCTTGGGCTATAAATACTTTCAAGTCTTGGAGTGCGTGGAGAAATAATCGAATTGTGGACGATAAGAAAATTCTGAAAGATATCTTAGACATCGATAACCGATCTAAATATGCCAGTAAGTACGTCGTCTATTTCGGTTCTGAATGCTACAAAATGTACCATACACATTGTTAATTGTCAAAAGAATAAAACATTATTTCTGTGTTCTTTGTTTTATGTCGATCATCAACATCATCAGCGGTTGATATGAACCATATCCATAGCTTATTGGGCAACAAAAACTATGAACGGCTTTCGCATGGGTCCCAGGACATCGTTCAAAATATTCGCGCAACACCGGTTCTTTCAAATATAGTTACAGACGACGTATGAAACAAAATTGTGCCTGATTGGAGACACAAATTAGAAAATTACATTCCATACGCGCGATGAGTCGCAACTAACAGCAATTCGCACCACATTCGTGCAATATGAGTGCGACAAAGTTTCGCAAGTGTAAATTCGATGAGATTAGAAGTGAACAGTGCCGCTAATTCGCGTATTATCTCACAATTTTACTTTGGAACTATTATGTTTAATCCCATCGTTCATTCTGTAATATATATCTTACCTACCTTCTACAGTGATGTAATAGGTGTGGCCATCTTGTAGTGGGATATTATTGATTACTTTATGATTTATTAATCCAACATTATGTTTCGTTATTACGTCTTCTCCTCCTTCTATAGAACCTGCAGCAAAATAGCACTTTATCAACAAGGTACAATAGAGGGGATTCTGTTTAGTAAAGTAAAATAAAGATATTTAGGAATATAATAGAAACCGAAGTGTCCGAAATGTAATTAAAATTTAGGAAGCACATTAAAATACTTTTAATTGAATAAATAAACACAAAACCAATACTATACCACATTGTCATGTGAAATGATGCAAACTCGCGTACAACGAAATACAGTAGTTGCAAAACAAAATCAATTTCAATCATAGGTATATTTAAATGCGCGATGTATTATCAATAAAAACTCTAGATTCAGTGAGTATACCAATTTAAGGGACAGATAGAACACATAACGCCGAACGCATATTTTATTACATAAGTGTCTTTTGAAAAAGAAAACAACCCGTGAGTTTATGATCCTGTGAATAATATCAAAATTTTACCAAGGGCTATATTATACTGGGATATTCCACTAGGATGAACTGCAAACCCGCCATCATCTTCAACATCGATAAAACTATCCCAATAAATTGATACTTCGCTATTAGATGACTGAAGAATAATGAATTAATGTATAAATTCTTCAAATACATTTATAATCCCCATCAATAAATTAATTGATGATACAGCTTCGTATGTCTAACGGTATTGAGTTACAATTGCATGCGTTATAGATTTTCCATAATTCCAGACTGAAGGTGGGACCACCTTAGACTTTTGTATTAATCCAGTTATGATCTTCACAAGTATATTAAAATGAATGTATGCACCATGTTATAGCGGCACTAGTATTACTCAGTATATATTATTATAAAACTACCTGATATTTTGAATTTCTTAAATGTTCAACCCAAACTCTACCACCAGTAGGGGGTGTTAAATCGATAGTAACACCATTACTACATACACTAATCTCTGGTAACTCTTCTCGCCATTTTTCATGGTCAATGGATACATACATTATATCGTAGGCCATGGATCAGTGCTTTCATCGGTGAAACATTGATGAAGTTATTTTCTATGAAATAAATATATAAATACAACATGACACAAGTTGTCATAATAGTTGTAAATACTAATCCTTTGTCAAAAATAAGGGGATTGGGAATGGGATCGATCTGTTTAATGAATTTGCTGTAGACCTACGATCTAGTGTGAATCAAAGTTCCATCTCAGCTTTGTACTTCGACACCTTTGTCAGTTAGCAAATTATTAATGATCTGGATAATAATTGGACAAAAGAAAAACGCGATTGGTCCCAAAGTTGCCATTTCTTAGATTTGTTTTGAACAACGATCCTAAACCCTTGGACCGTATGGCATAAACGACCTCCTAGTCGCTTACAACTACTATACTATTTCTTGTGTATATAATAATCAAATGCGATTTACTGTACGCCAGTGTGTTAATTAAGTACAAATCGAAGTATATCTTACTGGTCACTCCACAGGTCACAACAGCAGGATCTGAACAAGGATCTCGTAGACCAAATCTGTCCTCTATAAAGTGTGCTACTGTCGTGGCTGATTGATGTTGTATTAAACCCCACGTGTATTTACTGTATTTTAAGGTTGGCCAAACAGCTGATATGATATTTACGTAAGGGGTATAATCAATGTCTGTTTTATACCACCATGCATTATCATCTAATGAAATTGGACTTCCTTGTTGATTTGTGTTCCGGTCTGCAAAATATAATTCGTTTTTCTCTGATGTAGTAACAATTTGTTGTAATGCATAATTTTTTTATGTTAAACCAAACACTGTCTTTAAAGCATAATTATAATACCTATTACGTATCCCTATCGAGCACATATTGATATAAAATGATGGTCGCCATGTTGTCTCTCACGGCGCCTTAGGCCTACATATTTTTACAATATATCTGCACCATTAAAGTCAGTTCGTTGATACCAACTCTATTGTAACAAGCAGGACATAAGAGAACTGTACGTACCTTTATCAACCGGTTCTCCCAAGACATCTATAACCACTGGTGGTATTATTAATCGTGGATCGATAGCTGAACAGTTTTTAATATCAGTTGATACTGTTGTAGATAATCCAACTTTGTTAAATATCCTTACCACTAATCTTCTACATTTACTGAAATCCACCTCCCCAGCCATATCAATATGAAACTGAAGCTAAGAGTATAAATTATGTACACTTGGGCTGACAATAAGGTTCTTGTCAACACAGTACTTTTGTCTGATTTGTAAAACAAATATTGATTTTAAGAACTAAATGTTAATTTTAGTGTACAAATGTCGAAATACGACAACGAATAAAGAAATAAGAATTAAGGACTATGAATTTTAAAATAAGGACTAAGAACACTGAATAATAAAGGGCTGGTTGGTCTTACATAGTAATCCATTTAAACGATGCTATTTCTACAATTTAAAATGATATGAAACCGAGGGGTATTTTACCTTTTGTTTAGTGATGCCTTGCATATTTTCGACAAGATTCCATTTACTAGATAATTGGCTATCCTCTTTGTTATCTGTTATAGCCCACATATATTTATCTACAGATTTAACATACGAGCATAATCCATCATTTTCATCGTCTGTATATGCCAATATTACCTCCAACTGTAAAACATAAAATCTTCACTGCGGAGTTAAATATTTATATCCGGATTTTGCCAAATTGGAAA